GAGCAATGCCGGAAATGAGGGAGCTACGTCGCTGAGATCAAGGCATGGCTGGACGTCTCGTGGTCACACGCCAGATGTCACTCTGGGATCACCACAACACGCAAGAAGAGGGCCAAGAAACATAGGGGAAACTTATGAATTAATACTCGGGATTAGATGGGAGCTAAAGAGTAGCTTAAAACAGAGTTTTACTGAATTTTTTGAAACGATTCTGGCTAGTTTTCACCCATGAAAACAAAATTTTTCGAAGATAAATGACTGCAGAGGATGAATAGGAACGGAAAAGTAATAAGGACGACAGAGACACAAAAAAGAATTGGGACAAAATATACCAAGGAGTTTCTGTATGTTTTGTCCATTGATAGAAATAACTGGAAATTTTCTCGAATGACGAAAGCATTGGAAATCAATTATTCAATATCATCCAGCAAACACTTTCGAATATTATTAATCAAATGTTACAATATAGGTGTAAACTGTACACCTAATTCAAATTCAGTAAAAAAATGCATCAAAAGGATCAACCAAACATTAAAATCATTTGCAACGCGACACAAAATGGGGCGTAAATGAAAATGCCGCACAGTTTCCGTTGCTTACTCAACAATTGTTTTACCGGCAATCTGGAATTTTGCAAGCCTTGCATCCGACTTATATTGCATGAAAACGACAACTGCTAATTCAACGTTTCGCATAGAATCAATTGACTTGAAAAAAAAACGTAAAACGCGGGCAAAAATAATTTGTTATAGCTTATGACCTGTCAGGTAATTAAATCTTGTGTAAATTAGTTGAGTATTTCTGGAGTAACGTCGGCCTTGAGGACCTGAAAAGAAATGCATCACAGAAATGTATAAACCCTTGCATTAAACGCAATTCAGTTCGTCGCATGGATTATGTGTATTTTATTACGTGAAGATTCGAGAATTTTGCAGGTACGAATCTTTATCTAATCGCCTTAAATTAGAAATAATCTCATCCTGCAGAACTATCGTTTGACATTTAGAGCAGAACATATAGCTTGTATTAATAAATAATTGAGAAATAATCGCAGTTACGAACATGAATTACGAATTTAAATTTGACATGTTTGTTTAAGTGATTATTTTACTTATGCTTGGTTTTGGGTTTTCATTTAAAAATTCCAACATTCTAGAAAATACAACGTGTCGTTCTGGCTGACTTCCTACGTTCGTCCGCTGGGGTTAGTGCAGCTTTGGTCCGACAAAGAAGCCGGACGGAGGATCAGGGTTTCCATTAGTAAGGATGAGGAGAACATCCCAAAGACGATATTTACGTAACTGCTGCCCAGCCTCTTCCTCTTCTTCTCATCTGAGAGAAATAACGGATAAATGATGACTGTATCCGCACATTTAGGTAGATCGCCACTTCCAGCAAGTAGAAACGATGGGCAGACAAACAACCATTCCTGTAACTGTAGGCAGGAGCTTGCTGCTGCATTTAGCGGAAGCGTGAACCATGAATATTTGATTGATTTCGAACATGATTAATAAGTATTTAAAAATATACTAAATCGTGTTTTCAAAACATACTACTGTTTATTTTTACTATTTTCATGTAATGTTACACCATAATTCCATCATTATTCTGTTCCCTCCATTCTTCGTTTGTTTAGATAATTACTTCGCGTTGAGAGAGTTTTTACGTTGCAGGACAATCTTTCATCGATCGATATTTCTTTGTTGATCCAATTATACGACGAAGATAGCACTCGTCCGATGTATTGTGTAATAGACATTAGACTTGCTCTTAAGGTTGCACTCTAACCGCGTACGTACACACATCTCCAGCAAGACTGGATAAATTTTATTCATGTATAGCCTTCTTGTTTCTTACATATCCAACAACAATTTTAGCATTCATTTGACCGGGCAGCTTACGCAAAATCCTTCCCTGATGGCCCCAGTACCAAGAACTCTCTCAGGACTGGTACTGCCTTGTGAACTAATGTCTTGTAAGTGTCTCAATAATGTCTTGTAAGTCTCAATGGGCACAGCGTGCCCTGGCAACTCTTCCACACGAGTGTCGGATAAGAGTTCAATGTCTATAGCATCAGGTTGATTTGGACGAGACCAGACGCGTCGTTGCTGTAGGAATTGTTAGCGTTTATATTGCAATAAGCCAATATTCGCGAAGCCACTGAGAGCACAAGGCCTTCTCGTGAGGCCACTGACAGTACTAGGCCTTCTCTCGAGACCAATGACAGTACTAGGCCTCTTCTCGAAGCCACTAAAAGTACAAGAACCCTTACGAGGCCATTAAAACTATACCTGGCCTCATCACAAGCCCGTTGCCTAAGTTTTTGTTCTGGATAATTTTCGTCGAAAACTTATTATTTTTCGGTCCTCCACCAACCCACATTTACAGGAGCTAGGTTGTTGTTATTTTTTATTCCTGCCATTTCTCATTTCCTGCTATCGAACAAAAGTCAATTCAGTTGTTTGCGCCTTGAGGGGCGTTTCTGGCTCGCGAGAGGTCGCCTCATGACCATAAACCTAAGCATCAGAGAGCATTAAGAAGACTCAGCAAATTTTGAGACACTCTCCGAGTTTTATGTCTAAGAAGCTCCATGCTGCGCTTGAGGAGATTTTGGTCCACTTGAACTTTCTTTTCTTGAGTTTGATGGAGAGTCCGTTCAACCAACGGTCATGGCCACCTAACGAGCGCGAATGCCCTCCGCAAATAAATAGATAAAACTTCCCCAACCAGTATTTTAAGGGAAATATATGACGCTCGAATTGTCACATATTTTTCAACGGCGAAAATGTAGAATAAGGCTCGAAAAACTGCGTATGCAGTAACTTGAAATTTCTCTATTTAACGTTTAGGGGTATCGATAGGCTGAATTTAAAGTTTTTTATCTCTGTATCGGGATTCAAAATTATACAGGTAACTGGACTATATTCCAACAGAAATTTTCTTCGCGATAAATTTATTCAACCTAAAAGCGTATTAGACGACTAAATTGTTAAATACGTGCAATCATCGTCCAAAGTGGACAATTTGGGAAATTTTGTTTTTAAATTTTACGTGATTTTTTCATTTTTCTAAGGACACTCCGAACAGTGATCTTTCCTATATAGTACAATTAATCAAGCAGCGTCGTAAATATTTGCTACGACTCCTTGATTAGACCGTCGGCTGCCCGCCCGCCACAAAAGGCCTAAACGATCGGTCAAGCACGACATTTTACCGAAAAAATGTCTTTTAGGCGCAATTTTTCTGTAACGTCAGTCAAATCTGAGGGGCTGGAGGCGGTCTATCTCAAATTGCGTTCTGGCTTCTGTTGGACGTCGGCCGCCGCGGTGATTACGCGCGCTGAGCTCTGGCTTAACTCTTTATCGGTCATGACCTACACAGGAACTTTATAGACCTCCATAATATAAATACTTTTTGCCTCCGTTCGAGAGGCCGTTGATGGTTCAATATATCCAAAATTCTCTGTTTCAGTAGTTACACACTTTAACTGTATAGGCATTACCAAAATAAAGCAAGTTTACACGAACACTCTTCGTCACAAAAAGTCTTGGAGGCATTATCTACAAGTCATACAATAATTAGAAGCTCTGAAAATAGTAATTTATACCGAGCAACGTTTTTCGATCGGCGCCGAAAAATTGAAAAAAGCAGCCGCCTTATTTTGCAATATGCATTTATTACTTACAGTGCCCAGATTTTGTTTTTTGACAAAACACCCGGTTCATGGATAACGAATGCATTCATAGTTTGGATGCACTTGCGATCTCCTGCCATTAAATACTTCTTACGGCTATAATCATAGAATTCAAACTGTTTAATAGGAATCATCCTCAAACATAAATATCAGTGCAATAATTCTACGAATTTCATTGCGCATGATTTGTAATATTATCAATACAGAATATAAGACGAACTTCGATTCAAACACTGAGCAAAAAATCAATAAAAATTTCTTGTTAAAGTTTGTAAATGTAGCTCAAAAATTTATTCCATCCAAGAAGAGCAATATTTTGTAAAATAATGAGCCTAAATACTTTGATTTAAAAAAAATTGACGGAGCCTTAAACTGCAAGACTGGCATTCAAATTTTTGGACAGAGTAACTTGTATTAATTATGATATTAGGGAATATTCTTTTCTAGTGCGAGTTTAGTAATTTTGGTTAACTGCAGTTTTCTAAAAAATAATGAAATTTTCTTGCTTCTCCTAAAAGAGGTGAAGCAGGCTTCTAAAAATTACTTTTTCTTTAAATTAACTTCCCGATGAAATACCAATCACGACATATGCAAAGTGAATACACATTCATATCAAATATTTTTTTTCAGCGGTCTATATTTTCGGGTCTATAATATAATATTTATTATAATAAAATAATAATTGTCGTTTCTATATTATATTCTGGAAATCCTTCCTTCGCATCGAAAATAAAATTAGAGTGTGGAACCTGAGTGATAAGCAACTCTTCGATGAGAGGGTCTGTTGCCTGGCACACTTCTATCATTTGATTTTCCAATCCTTGTGATGTGCTCTGGCCATGCGCTGATGATTATGTGAACTTCTACGGCAGGATATTCCTAAGAATTTCTTAAGGATTAAGAGCGACTCTCGCACCAAGGAACCGGATTTTCTGAGTTCCCTTTTTGAACGTTTTGGGCTCGCATTTCCTGAGATCTTATTATCGACAGACTGACCTATGAAGGATCATCAAATCCGTAGGTCACTTAACTATTCAATAATTCCTTCCTTATCTATAAGATCCGTTTGATAATTAGAATAAATCGAGCAGCATGATATTTTGAGGTTCGAAAATATATCATCTAAAGAATTAGTTCGATCTTATTTACTCTTCCAAAAAATATTTCTAATTCCAATCCTGAAAATGATGTAGAGATGTTGTTTCCCAGTTGATTGAAGATATATTTTCAGTTATTGCTATTCAAAGTTTTTCATTAAGGTATTAGATTTAAATGTTTAAGTGATAGTATCTGGATGATATCTCACCATGATGTCGGGAGGGTTGGCGAGGCCACGTTTCTGCATGACTCTCCTGAGGGCGCCGGCGAGGGCGGCCAGCAACACGTCGTTCAGGCAAGTTCTCATCACGAGTTTTACTCGCGTGACTTTTGCCAGAGAAACTCCGGCGCTCCATCGTACGACGTGACCATCGCAGACTGCCGAAGAGCCTCTCTTTTGGAAGTGCAAGCGGATATCCTCAAGTGGCTGCGGTGGGTGATGGTTGTGCTGGTACTTATAAGTGTGATTTGCTCGATTATGAGAGTATGCGTGTGGGATGGAATTGGAGATCCGATTGGGATACGATGACTTCTTAACGAAATGGTGAGAGTCTGTGAGTAGATTATGTTCTCTGGGCCACCACCATAGCCACTTGATGAGCAAAAGAGGGGCGGAAAAGAAAGCCTGCATTACACTTGTTGCATAAGTGGTGGCTCCAAAGTGTGGTTTGGGCGGTAAATGAGGCACGTGATTGTCTGATAAGGCTTGGCATAGAATCCTCATGAGTGAGATGCCGTCACCGATACAAGGATGCACGCGGCACACGAGGACGGTATCCCTGACTCCATCGTGGTCTCCACCTCCTACCACAATGATTTCCCATAAAGGCCGTTCCAAAGGAAGGGGTTTCGAGACGATTTCGGATACATAGTTTTGTAGTTCTTTCTTAGACTTTAATCTTGGCCCCAAGTAGATATGATGATGCACTTGAAATGCCCTATCAGGAAGCCACACATGCCCCAGCGGCAACTTCACAACTCTACTGGTAAATCTTGGGTAGAGCAACTCCCCGGAGCCATTCTTGGCATCAAGAACTCGAGCCGACACAACTTGTCTGACGCGCGCCAGCGGCAGCATCCCATCCACGATGAGAACGCTATGCAGCACTGACTGCTGAGGCTGCGTGAAGAAGTGGGCATCATGAGCTGATAAATACTCATGACTGCCACACGAGGGCAATCTTGGATGAAAACATGCAGTTCCGAGTGTTTTGACCAATACCGCCATTGGCAAGGTCAGTAAGACTAGGAGCGATATCGGAACGCTTAAAAATAATGTCAATGCTATGCTAATCAAGCCTGATATTAAACTCTGACTGCATGTAGTTCCTTCCCCAATATATTTAACTCTGCCAATCGGTGCAGATACAATCTCGCTGTTGGTCCGTCTTTTCTTTCTTTTCCATGCATGGGCGTTTTGCGGAGAGGCGCTCGACGAAGGAGTCATGTCAATCCGACTCTCCATCTTGCGTGCAGAGACGATCAGAATGTCCGACTCAACCGCGTCATACGCGACCCGCATCGGTGACGACGATGTCGCGCGCGATGGCGTTTGTGGAGACGACTTCTTTGACGGTTCTTTAAACTTTTCGCCTTGCGTTCTTTTTGATTGAGATTTTTGAAGAGATGATGAGGCAACCGGCGTCGTTGGGACGGTCGAGGGTCGAGCTGAGGATTGGCTGGACTCGTGAGGCTGACGAGGGAGAGACGTCTGGTCCCCATCTGTGCGCCGGGCCATAACAGGCGCTCCAAAATATTCATCGCATCCTGAAACAAAAATTATCTTTCATTACGTCTACGATGAACAGCAAAATTGGAAATGAATGAATATCAATTGAATAAGTAAAATTTATTAATATAGAACAGTGGAGTAGCATACTGAATGTTTAATTCATTTTTAGTCTTTAATCAATTCATTTATGTATGCTGGAAACTCGTTTTTGTTCAATATGAAAACATTGAACAGCGATGAGCGTCCATTAATTTTGAACGTAATTATCGTTCGCTCCTCAATGCACGTGTGTGCCGTACGCATGCATTGCGAATTGTTTCTGCGCTGCGACTAAACATTGAAATTTGCTGTGGGTAACGTTGACATGTACGTAAAATTGGCACCCACACTTACACTCCCAGTCCCACAACCATACCATATTCCATGCACTCAAACCCACACACACAGTTCCCCATACATTCACACCCACACAACCACAACCACACACCCATACCCACACCCGCATCCACAGGCCGGCTGAGTGACGGCTCACCATAGAGTACAGACCAACAAAGTAGAATGCGATTTTTGTTTGGCAACCTCGCCGGCCTGTGCAGCTGGCGAGTGCATTGATAAGCTCGTCCTAACGAGCGTCTTTTAGCAATACCCTCTTGTGATGCTTCGTTACGCATGCAGGGCAACGAACCAATATGCTGGCTGGTAGGGGACACAATCTTATTTTTACGGGAATATTCATAATGCTGACAGCTCCATGACGGTTATGTAACTGATGAGGTTAAGGTGAAAGATTAATTCGTGAAAATACTTCGGAAAATAATGTAAGTTGGGTTGCGATTCCGTATTTATATTATTATGTAAATGGATTTGGAACTGTATATAAATGGATTTATTGTATAAATTTTTGTAAATAAATTTATCTTTTCTACGATGTAAGACGTTTATATTGTAAAGCTGGTCAACTATAACATTTCACTTCGATTGAAACCGTAAATGGCAAAATATGTATTCATGTTATTGTTGATATATTTATTCATGCATATACTTAATGAACATTATTTGCATTCCTTTCTTACTCTATGCTAAAAATTACTCGATACTGTAAGCTGAATAAAGACTATATATGGTTTACTGCGGGCTGAATTAAGCAGGAAAACCAAGCGTTTAGCGCATCGAGTTCACCTCGGAGGCTCTTTGTCTTTGTTACTGTAATCTTCTTGGTATCTCTCAACCTCCATGCCGGACATCAGGGTTAGTAGATAGACGGTCTTTCATTAGAACCCTTACAGTGCGCTGCACCGGGCTGCTTCGCTCATAATAATAAAGCCTCCCGAAAAAGACTAGGGCATCTCATTAAATCTGCAGAAACTATAGAGCAGTTTTTTCTTCTCATTTACCGTTCCTCATTTTTCATCTAAAGAGCCCAGCTCTTAATGAGACAAATGCTTCACAAAAATAAATAAAATATATTTTATCGTGACTTGAAGTTGAATTAAATTTGATTGAATTTGACTATATATATATATATAAATCAATTTTATTTTAATTTAGTAAAATAATTTACAATTTTATTAAGTCAAATTTTATAAATTTGACTATAAGTTGAATTAAATTTGGCCGAATATTTTAAATTATTTCGAATCTAATAAAAAGCGCTCTAGGTTTACTTAATTTCAAAAATTAACGTTAGAAAAGTTGTGCACGTCAAAAAAATTCACTTATACTCTTTAGTACGTTCCATTAGGTTTTAACAATTTAAAAATTAATCAGTGCTGCTGAATTTAAAAAATGTTTAAATGAAATATACTCATTTATAAACTACTTCTTAGCATCCAAGTGTTTCCGAATGCAGCAAGCGATTAATAAATCTACGAAAAACTTACCACTCTCACAGAAAGAGCTTCAGGATATATCAGATAAATTTCATATCTAATCGAAATCGCCTCAAACCTGTATGTTCTCTCGGGGAAAAGAGACGCCAAGGCTGCAGAATTTCAATAAAAATAAGAAATTTGAGGAGTTTTTCAGCCTTATGAAGTGTAAAACTAATTCAGGTATTAAAAAGAAAAAAAATAATTTTTGGCACGAGAAAAATCCAGTGGAATTTATTGGATCATTTAACTAGTCTGAATGCTAACCCGAACTGTGCGGCATGCTGCGCATGCTCCTTGCACAATTATTGTCATGTTCGAATTCATAAATCCAACTGTCAATTGCGGAGGTTATACGTTAAGCCAATTTCCTATTTTTCTATTGGAAGATGAAAGCTTAAACCTTTGCTTAAACCCCATTTGTTGTGCCCGAGCCCCTAGACTTTGACTGCTGCCTCTAATTAGAGCGCTCCGGATATTGGCTTGAAAATCAGCTTCGAAAATATACTCTTCTCACCCAACGCACGCTGACATGCTCCCTGATACTGCGTATTTTGCCTCTCTCCTAATTAACTCCTTAATGAGTACCAAAAGTATAGGGCCTGCTTAGATAGTGTGCTATGACATGCAGCAACCGAGCTGTGACTCTTCTCAATCATTGTTTGTTTCAAGCGATTAATAAATATTTAAAAGCTATTAATAAATATTTAATTAATAAATATTTCAAGCGATTAATAAATAACTTAATCGGGAGACTTATAATTTCCATAACTTCAGACATAATTCTTAAAAACTTTCAGCACCATATTTATGAACTGCAGTTTATTAAAGCACACAGCTGTTTGCCTAACATATATGTACTGTGATCCTGAACCCAAAACCCCGGCAGCTCGTCGGAATGCAGGGAAGGCATCATCACCCCGTAACTTATATACTTTATGCATACTGAACTGACAATTTGTCTCACCAAGCACCGCTGAAGCGGCAAATTGAAACTCCCGTAACTCCGGAGTACTGACGCCAAAACTTTACGATGAACGATATGCGTTGGGCTTGCCAAGTTGCATTTAGCATCATCGCATTCGATCGAGCTGGGACTTGGATGACCATGGACTGGCCTTGGTGATCAAAGTTGGAACAGAGTTACACATCAAGGTTTCAACATATCAATTGAAATATGAGCAAAACAATGATTATATCGTACATCTTCATAATTCCTACTTAATTATCCAACAGAATAAGTTTTTCATATAACACAATATATTTATTACAGGATAATAATACGTCTATCAATAAGTGAAAATTCGAAGCAGTTACACAGGGTGTAATTACGACGGTGGGTGACCGTCGTATGAGCTGAGCCAATATAACCGCTTCACTATCTCCCGAGCAGCCACATAAAGAAAGGATTTCGGGGCTCCAGAGAAGAGGAAATCGATGTTTCCGGCCCAGCGGCTCACAACCAGGCTTGGTGAGACGAGCCTCGACTACAGGAGCCTTCTTTGGAGTGACATTCATGTCTGCGACTCCTTCTTTGGAGTGACATTCATGTCTGAGACTCCTTCTTCAGGGTGACATTCGTGTCTGAGACTCCTTCTTTGGAGTGACATTCATGTCTGAGACTCCTTCTTCAGGGTGACATTCATGTCTGAGACTCCTTCTTCAGGGTGACATTCATGTCTCAGACTTCTTCTTCAGGGTGACATTCATGTATGAGACTCCTTCTTCAGAGTGACATTCATGTCTGAGACTTCTTCTTCAGAGTGACATTCATGTCTGAGACTTCTTCTTCAGAGTGACATTCAAGTCTGAGACTTCTTCTTCAGAGTGACATTCATGTCTGAGACTCTTTCTTCGTAGTGACATTCATATCTTAGTTTTTTTCTTTGTATGTAACTTCCAAGTTGAGTCCAACTCTCTCAAATTACTTCCACCAGTTGCGAACGTTCCACGAATCGCTGCCACCAGCTGTGAACGTCCCTCGGATTGCTGCCACCAGCTGTTAACATGCCTCGAATCGCTGCCACAGCTGAAGAAGCTCCTCGAATCGCCGTCACCAGCTGTGAGCGTCTCTCAAATTGCTGCCACCAGCTGTGAACGTCCCTCGGATCGCCACCACAGCTGTAGTGACGGCCCCAGAAGCACCTGTAGCTGCCATGTCTCATTGCTCATGCCGGTCTGCGCGTCTGCCATACGCTGCGTCCGTTAAGCCTGTCGCCTCCGCCTCAGCGCCCTGCCGTGATGTTGGGAGCTGCCTTCCCAACGCTCCATGCTCAGCAGGTATCATGACTTAAATCTTTCTATTACGGAACTTTTCGGTACAAATTTTTTACTCTGTATTAATTTATTTCTTTCATTTCTATTTTCATGAGTTATTATTAGCGAAAAAATAATGTCAAAAAAGAACAGCTGATTGATAAAATAGAAAATTGATTGAGAAAATTTAGAACTTTTTCGAGACTTCATCTTTCTCGTAACTTTTCGAATAATTTCGTAACTGTTCCATTCCGCTGACTTTATACTTTATTTATTTTATATTTGATTAATCAATGCATTAATATCATCTTAATATGTGGGTTTACACTTTACAATAAATGATGCACATGACGTTAAAAACATGGTGGAGCCGTGTTAAAATTTCAGTATGGGAACGAAAGCCATCTTGGATCACCGGAACAAACGATCAATTATCAGGGACATTTTGCGTGCATCGTTGACCGTGGGACAGAAAAAAAACACTTTTCACAGAGAGAAGAAAGTACAAAAGACTAAACATTTATTTGGTATCATGCCGAAAATTTTGGGCTCTTTATGAGAAGTTACATGAACAAATTTAAACATGCATAAAACATATTCCTCATTTCTTTCAGGTCCACGCATTCAACGGAAATAGTTACCCAATCTTATATTCTTAAACTTGTCCCCACTCAAGTAAAATTAAAACACAGCAAATTAAGGTTCAAGCAATACGGGTTTCGTCAAAATCCTATTTGATGACGACGCTCGTAAAGTCAGGCAATACAGAGACCGGCACGTGGGAGCTTATTGCAGGCTCGGCGCTGGAGAGAAGTTGGAAATATTTTAATGTGACCGGAATTTGCATAATTCATGAGGTGAGCGATGTACTTAAGAAGAAGCCGGGCTCATTTTACATAATAGATGGACTG